GGAATGTGAATTCTCTACAATTTTATATATGCTATGGCCTAGACAGCACGGGTTTTCTTTCTGTTATTCACTTATGCTCTACAGCAGGAAATAATTCCTTAGTTTTAATGTCTTACTAGCTCATAAGCAGAAAGATGGGACACGCAAGCATACTCTATTGATTTTAGAGTGGACTTAGTCAGGTAAGTCAGTGCACAGAGAAGTAAAGTTCTCATCTGTAGCACCGTTCTGTTCCCACGTGTAGGGCCAGACCATGAACAGAATGTATGTGATTATATGGCCATTGCCTCAGAACTACTTCTGTGTTTTACCCAGTAGCTTTTAACTTGAGAGATGGAAGCAGTCCTGAGACCAAGGTCTTGAATCCAGATCCCCCTTTTCATAGAAAGTGCCATCTCTTCTGGGTTTTGGTTCTGTTCTTGGCCCAGCAAACCTCAGAGGGTTGAGTGGAAAATGCCCTTACTCCAGCTTCTTGGTGCTTGCAGTTGTCTCCTGAAAAAATAGACAATGGAAGCCTGAAAACAAGGTGCCAATATAAAACTCTCCTGTGCAGTGGGCCAAGGCATGGCAAGAGGCAATCTTCAAGGAACAATCAATGGCTTGTTACCATTTGTTTTCAGGACGTGCCTAGAGCATGTGGGTGCAGAGGGAGACAGTGGAAAGCAGCCCTAAAATTGGAAGGGCTCGGAAAGGGCCCCTTTCTCCTCCTCTCGGTTTGCTGGTATGAGATGGCTGAAGCAGGAGCCGACATGGAAGTGACGGGGAAGGGAGGAGGGAGCTAGAGGAGCAGAGCCCAGTCTCTCACCCAGCAGTTTGTCCTCCTGTGTGTATCCAGAGCGTTCAGAATAGGAAACCCTCAGCACCTTCCTCCTTTCCATCTCTTTCTATTCTCTCTCACGTTTTCTATAACTCTTGATCAGAGCCATCCGTCCTTCTAGCCAAAGACTAGGGAATGAGAAGAAATAAAAGTAACTTCGTTGCAGGTCAGATGCATGAGGCTGGGCTTAGCGCAGGCAGAACGGGCTGAGCGGAGCCAAGACTGTTGATGTGCTGTGTTCTGCATGCCCAGCCAGGCATCTTTTTTCCCAGCCTGTGAAGATTTTGTGGTGGTAGCGGTTGTTGCTTTTTCTTAGCTGCGTAGACCATCAGACATAAAACTTTGGGGTTCTGAGCTTTGTGTGTACCAGGCAAAACTGTCAAGCCTGGTCAATATCTGGATATATTGAGGAAAACAGGAAGTGCTGAAGACAGACCATGTTGGCATGTTCGGGGACAGGGAGGCGCATATTGCTTCCCATCTGAGTCTTAACTTGGCTGCACTATTGCAAAAACTGTTCTCTAAGCTGAATTTAAATAACGAGAGACCCTCAGTAATTTTTCAGATTCCTGGCGTCTTTAGAAAGAAGTAGGACTTCAGCACCAATGGTCCGAACAAAAGGTTAGAAGTTGACAAGCAGTATTCCCCATATGCAGCGTATTTCAGCTGGAGAAAAGTGTGTCAAAACAATCTGCATTTTGTCTTGTATTCTGGTTTAATTACTGAATGCCACTCTGAAGGAGGTTGTGTTTTAATGATGGATGAAGTTGTTCCTACAAGTGGAAATATGTTTGATGCACAAAATGTGCCATATAAATAGAGACTAGAAGAGCAGATTTCTTTATTTAGAAGAAATTAATGAGGGAGCTTAATTAAAGTTTATAAAGTAACAAATTAAAGCAGTTCATTCTGCTTTTCTGTTTATTTGCCTCAAAAATTAGCTGCTCCTATCCAAATGAAATTAAAAAATAATACATCTCAACTGGATACATGGATTTTTTTTTTCTGTTTACTTAGTTTGTGAAGTTCGTTACATAAAATCATTGAAGCTCAAAAATTGAGAGAGAGCGTGAAAGTGTAACTGTGATGCAACTAACAGTACAGCTAAAGGCTTAAATTAGGGTTTTTTTGCATACAGCAGGGCCACGGAAGCCTGGTTTCCTATGGCGTTATGTGCTGTATTTCTTTAATAATTATCCCACTGCTTTTCTGTTTTTTTTTCCTGTAACAACCCCAGCTGAGACAGAGGCAGCCTGCAGTCTGGTTCATCCAGCCTGGTTTGCCTTCATGTATTCTTATTTGAGTTGACCAGTTGATGCTGCAAATGGAATATAAAACGGGTAATTGTTTTAAGGCCTGTAAACCGTCCATTTCCTAGGATGGTGTCCCACTGAAAAGCTGAGGAAGGAGCTTGCCAAATGAGCGGGTATTTTTCTTTTTGAGGTTTCCTGAACTTTGCTTGGAAACATTCGATAGCGGATTAGTCTGATTTTTGTCCAGTGATTCCTCTGTGTATAGTTTGACACAAGCTTTGCAATTGTTTTGGCTTCAAGGCACTGTGTGTGTCTAAGGGCTTACGCAAGACAGGCGTGTAAATGGATTGTGTCCTTGCGTTAGATTTCTCCCCCGTTCCAGATTTTGGTGTTACGAGTAAGTTGTAGTACATACAGGCAATTGTATATCCTTAAGCTAAGCTCCTCTTCTCTTTTTTCTCTCCTGTTTACATCTCAATATGTACTTACATGAGTATTACCAGATAGGCTAAACCTTTCTAATGAGCTTTAGAAATCGGCAGTTTGCTTCAAGCCGTGTGGGTTCTACCATCTCGAAAAGCTGTGCCTCGAGGAAGGGGGAAGAAACCCCTTTTTCCGCTGCTAGGGTACCTCATCTCACCTGTCCCCACTTTTGCTGCAGAGCTGTGGTTGCACAGCCCGTTCCCATGCGTTAGGAGACGCGTGGAATTAGCTCTGCAATGCATTTATGCCTCGGGGCAAGCTCCTTTCCAGCGCACGGTGCGGGAAGATTCTAAATGAAGTAGAGAATACAATTTTTATGAACTGGGACTTGAACACTCAAGTGCTGTAATATGCTTTTAGCTAATTTCATCTTTAAATGCAGATAATGAATCCACTTCAGTTTGTATTCAGATAAGAAATGTCATTCATTCTGTATGAATGCAAGTATCTGTGTAAAATGGGTGACTTCCAATTTGGTCATGGCTTAAATATAGATAGATAAATAAGGTTATACCGATGTATTTGTAAATGAATTGGGGTGTTGGGCCATGTATTGGAGGAAAACATAGTTTATAAAACCCTATGTAATTAGTTACGGTACATATCTGTGTAGAAGGTGGTTGAGTCCCCATCCCTGGAGGTGTTTAAAAAATGAGTAGATGTGGCACTTTGGGATATGGTTTAGTAGGAATGGTTGGTGTTGGGTGGATGGTTGGACTCGATGATCTTAGAGGTCTTTTCCAACCTATGAGTCTATGATTCAAGAAAAGCCCTTTTTCCAAAAGCTAATACAGTGATGTGAGCCACCTGTGAAGGCCAGGTGGGACACATTAAAGATCATGAAATGCTGTCATGCCTTTGGAATAACCAAATCCCAAAGATCTGCCTGGCCTTGGCTCCCAGGCTCTGGCATGAGGTATCAGGCTGGAGTTGATCTGGGGACACCTGTATCTCAGTGTGGAAAAATGTGACAGTGTTTTATGATGCTGTTCGGAAAAAAAATAATAATTAAAAAAAGCGCCCTTAATAAATGTGATTACTGTTTAGAGCTTCAGCTAAATTGAGGTACTGGGGAAAAAACAACATGTTTTGTTTGACATAATTGTTTGTATTATTTCATAACGATTTCATAACAATTTAACCTGTCATTTACCCAAGGCGTTTAGGTGAAATGTCTGTTATTCCATGAAAATATTTCCTTTCTCATATGATGTATCTCCAAGCCATTGTCAAATGCCCAAGCCTTACTGAGATGGCATTTGCATGGATACAGCTCAGTACGACAGAGTTTAACACATTCCATTTCACTGACAAAATTTGCTTTTGTCTACTGTAACAAATGTAATCATACGGCGTGTGACTGGAAAACCTGTATTACAAAGTACAAGAGTTCAACGTGTGTCATCCTGTGCCTGTTTCCAAAAACAGGGGATGGAATGGGTGTTCATAAACCCCAGGTTTTGACTGCGGAAAACGAGAGCGCGAGCAGCTGGTCTGCCAGCTCTGCACAAAAGCTCTCAGACAGCGGCTTAGTAATGAAATGCCCAGATATTTAAATTCTTAAATTTTTTTTTCATGAAGTGTGCCCTTCGGAGAGCTAGCATCTTTCAGGTGCTGAAGTAATAGGTGGTGTAGTTTAAATTACCCGCAGCCCTGTTGTAGTGAGGAGCCAGAACGGAGCAGCTGAGAGTATTTGAGAGCTTGGGTTCTTGCCTTTGCCTGGGGAAGGGGCGGCGGGAGCCCCGTGCTCCCGGAGATGACTGCGCGCGCCAGCGTTGCCGAAACCCACCCCGCTGTGCCTGTGTTTTCTGACAGCTGCAGGAAGCCATCAAGGCTGGCAAAGGTGTGACTTCAGCCATCGACCTCTGCCGCGGCCACGGAAGCAGAGCGCTGGCAGCCCTGGAGCGCTTCCCTCCCTCCGAGGCCAGGGCTGCCTTGGCCAACATCGTCTGCGCCGTGACCAGGTTCCCCTGACCCGCCATGGCCGGGAGCAGCCCGGCGGGGACACCAACGGCGCCTCGCACCGGTGGCCACCTCATTGTCCCATCCCGGCACAGCCGCCGCTGCCGCCACCAGCAAAATTCGGGAGGGGAAGGAAAAAAAGGTCACAGCCGGCTTTTGCTTGTCGTGCCAGAAGCGCACTTGAGGCTGCACCGGTAGAAATAATTAATGAGTCCCGTTCCCGTGACCTCAGCAAATGGACAGGAAATAGGTCGGTATTGATTGGGCACCGGCGGGGACGGCGCCAGGGCGGAGGCCGGTGGTTTTCCTGCCCGAGGGATGGAGGGATGAAGGGAGGGGAGGGATGGAGGGGTGTGAAGATCCAGGTGTCACAAGAAAGCCGCTCAAACCTGCCCAGAGCAAGCGAGCCGCTGAAGCTGGGAATTAACGTACCTGCTTGTCGAGGGGATGGGCCGTTCGGGGGATTAGCGGGGGGAAATCCTTTCTCTGTCTGCGTGCAGTCATGTCTCCTCACACTGTTTTTCTGTATTCAAATGTAAAATTACCCTGTGCCTAATGCTTTCCGTATTTGAGAAACTTGCTGAGAAAATGTGTCAAGCATGGTAAGTAGGAGCTTTAAAATATTTAATCAAATATTAATTTGGCTCTGCTAAGGGAAGTGACTGCCTGGGTTTTATACTGTGCATATAAAATGTTGCTCTGGGTCAAAGAATGAGGTTTTTCCAACTCTCCTGCAGGAGGGAATATCCCTCCCTCAGATCAAGCGGTTTGTTTCAACACAGTCTTAAAAGAATTTCCTAAGTTTGTGACACGTTCATTTGAGCCAAATAAGTGTTAATATATAAGGCTAGATGTCGGCCTTTGGCAGAAAGGAAGAAGGAATGCTCTTCTGTGAGTACAGTCTTTCACCGCGCAGAATAAAAAGCAGAAAATACTGGAGAAGTTTTGAACCTCAGTGTGTTGAGTTTTAAAGTCCAGTTACAGACAGCGTATAAGGTGTATCAGAAGCCTGCAACGTGAGACCGTCTCTGTTTTGTTCATAGGAGATGATTTTTGTGGTTTGCATGCGTGCAATCTGAGAAAGCCGTTGACAAGAAGGCTGAGTTTACATAAATGATCTAGATTGAGACTCAGCTACCTTTCTTCCTTCTGTGGTGTAATTACAGCCCAATCTGGAGACAGCTAGCACAGCAAACAGATTTCATTACATCGCTCACTCAAACACTAAGTGGAGTTATTTCTGTTAAATTCTCCCCTCCCTCCTTCTCCCCCTGCACTCCTTCCCCCCGTCACACAGCTTGTTTGTCATAGACCAGCGTGTTGCATTCCACCGCATGCAAAATATAAATAAAAACTCTGTCCTCTAAAAATATACTGAAAATACATCCTGCATAATGTACATAATATTCTGTGTAATATATGCCTATATTATGCCATAATTTTGTATGTATAATAAGCGCCCCTGAGTCACAACCTTTGTATGGGAACAGCATCCAGAACTCGGGACTCGCTTTGTTCTGGAGAATGGCGTCAGCACCAGACTGCTGCTTGCTTGCACCTTCTTCCTCATGCCTGGCCTGACATTTTCTCTCTTCTGAAGGCGCCGGTGCTTCTGCCTGAGTTAGTGCTGTCGCTGCCACAGGAAGGCTGGAGGCCGGAGAGGAGCACCAAGAAGTGTGGATTAGCCCAGGCAGCGGCACTCACAGGCATCTGCCTTAGCTCACCACCTTACATTTTCACCTGTGAAGTTTCCTGGAGTTCTGCTAATGGGAAGCGTGCTTAAATTCAACCGGAGTCGTATTTCAGCTTTTTTTGGCTCTAGTTAGGAGCCACACATCATTGTCTTTTTGTCTTACGTCTACACTAAGGGGTTCATAATGATTTAGGGCTGCAAGAAGCTTGGGTCTGTTGGAGATACTCTGAGCCATCTCACCTCAATCACCTCAGTTGTGTGAAAGAAATACCAAACATACTGCAAAACTGTGTAAGCCTGGTTCACGTTTTCATGAAAGTACAATTTTTTTATTTGTACTTTTTACTAATAAAGGCAAATCAGCAAGAATTAATGACTTTTTTGTATTTTATCACCAAAAATATCTGATTGCTCTTAAACTATTCTTTAGCCTGAATTTAAAAAAAAAAAATGAATTGTCCCTTACCAATGTTATCAAGTAATCTTATATTTAAGGCATTTGCCTATAATTATTGAGAAATGTTTATTGTCTTGTTTCCTCCAGGTAAACAACAAGCAAAAGGTTTATACCCCCCTGTCAAACTCTTGGTGAATTCATCACTGAATTAATCACTGCTGTGTATTAATGTACTCCCCCCACCTCATACAATTTCTGAACAGTGGTGGAACCTTAACGCTGTTTCAGTTTTATTTTTATCTTCTCGATTCCTCTTCCCCACCCACCTCTGTAAGGAGGTCGGGGAGGGGGAGGCCTGGGGTCTGGGGGGTGGCTGAAGAAGGTGTCACACCATTTACTTCAGTCCTCCAGCTGCTCAACCAGATGTACCTATCAGCTGCTCCTCTGAACCTGTGCCAGGTATTGTGCTGCTGGACCATCCCACGGGTGCGCAAAATACAGGACAAGGTCCCAACTGCTTTTTAAACCAGACTGAATTTGTCTCCTACAAAGAGCACAGCTGTGGTGGGTAGAATGGCTGTTTCATGGGTCTGTGATGGAAAGTCATTTAACTGCCAGCCCAGTGTTTCCAGCTCCACAATTGTGATAACGCTGTATAGGAAGGTCGTTTGGAAAATGAGGTACTTAGAAGAGTAGAAATGTTGGCTGAAAGGGACTGCTGAAAGTCATCTGGTCAAACCGCCCATTTGAAGTAGACTGTTGCCAGCTTGGAGTCTGGTCTTGGAAACCACCGGGGATGGAGCTTCCACAGGTTCCCCTTACAGCCTGTCCCAGTGCTGCTCCGCCGTTGTTGTGAAGGAGTTTTCCTGATGTCCAGCATGAACCTCTTTCCCGTAGCTGGTGGGCATTGCCTGTTATTTATCAGCTGCCACTGCCAAGAATTGTTTGGCTCTGCTGTGGTGCCAATTCCCGATCCCGCACAGCTGTGTGCTGCAGTTCCCTTTCCCCATTAGCTGCATCTCACTGGACTAACGGGGTTGTCCTCCAGTGACCTGCATGACTTTCATATCATTCCGGTTTGGCTGTGAGCCCAAAACTGGCCAGTCTGGGAGCAGCCTCACTGTGTACAGTAAGGAGGAGAACAAAAATTTACCCTCGTGTACTGGGAGTTGCTGTGATGGAGTTCGTTTTGTTCATAGCATCCCGTATGTTGCTGTGCTTTGGATTTGCGACCAAAGCAGTTGCTAACGCAGCGATGTTTTAACTATTGCCCAACAGTGCTTGCGTGGCACCCGGGCTTGTTCTGCTCCTCGCTCTGACGCGCAGCGAGTGGGTTGGGGTGGGCAAGGGGCCAGGTGGGAGCGCGGCAGGGGCAGCTGGCCCGAGCTGACCACAGGGATGCTGCGCACCAAGTAACGTCATGATCAACAACTGAAACGAGGCGTGGGGTGCTCCAGGGGGTCCGCGCTCAGGGGCTGTCTGGGCACCAGCCAGCTGGTGGTGATTGCTTTTGCATTGCTTCATTTTTTGGTTTGTTTTCTTTTTTTTCTTTTTTACCTATTAAACTGTCTTTAACTCAACCCACGAATTTTCTCACTGTTGCCCTGCTGTGGGGGGCAGTGAGTGAGTGGCTGAGAGGTGCTCAGCTGCCAGCCAGGGTGAGCCCACCAGGGTCCTTTTTGATGCCCAGTGTGGGATGCACAGGGTTCAAGATGTTTGACCCGAGTGTGCTGGAGGGCAGTTACTGTACCTGTGCAGCTGTTCCTGGTCACAGTGTTGACTGATTTGTTCTCCATGCAGGTTTATTTGTTCCCTTGCCCTCTCCGTGTCACGCGCTCTCTCTTGCTGTGCATTAAATTTGAGAGCTTGTTAAAGGCTGCGTTTGGCGTTTGCAGTTAGCTGTGCCCTGTAGCACGGTTGTGTTTTGCCCGGCGGAGCTACGATGAAAATGCTGGCCCTGAGCCTGGTCTGGTGTTTGGGCCCTGCGCTGCTGCCGTCCCAGTACTTCGGGAACCATCTCGTGGAGACATGAACAATTACACCTCTTTTTTTTTCCCCGCGTTTCCTCCGAGAGCCAGTTTGTGGAGGGAACAAAGAACGGCACCTTCCCCTTCATCTCCCGCAGGGCAGGTGCTTCCCACCTTGTTACACTGACTCTTCGGTACCTGGGACCTCCCTGGGTAATCTCAGTGCTCACGCTGGTGTCTCTCAAGAATCTGTTCCCAGCTTTTCCTGAGGTTAACTGACCGTTCAGGAGCGTCACCCGGGGATGTGCCCAGAGGCAGTGTGGTGGTGGGTGGTAAGGTGTGCGGAAGAATGCGGGCAGGTATCTAGAACAGTTTCCACCTGCGATGGTGTGGGACTTGAGCCCCAAACAAGTGCAGGATCCTGATAAAGTGACAGAGCATTTGCGAAAAGGATGCCCTGGCTATGCGAACAGGACGCAAGGACTCGCACCGTGCTGGGGCTGGCTGATGCCTACCAAGCACTGTTCAGCACCCTCAAGGGGCAGAGGGGGTCTCTGCATCTGAACAGACAAATGGGCACCCTGGCTAAGCCAGAGAACCAGCCCTCAACTGTATCAGTCGCCCCTATATTCAAGAAGAAACAGTGGAAGTGGAAGTCGACTCGCTCAGTCGAGGAGGAAGAAGCTTCTCCCAAGAGGGAGTAGGAGGAGGGATCAGAGAGGCAGCTGGTTGTGCACCAGAGCAGTCACAAGAACAGGAGGGGACAGAGACAGCAGTCATGAACGAGTCAGAAACCACCCGCTCCTTATCCCTGAGCAAGCTGTGAGATGTGCACAAAGGTTATAGCTGTCAACCTGGTGAGCTAATTATCAGCTGGTTGCTCCGATGCTGGGATACTGGGGCCAACAGGCAGAAATTAGAGGGCAAGGAAGCCCAGCAGCTGGGATCCCTTGTG